CGGGTCTATGCGGAATGGCAGGGCCGGGTCTATGCAGAATGGCAGGGTCGGGTCTATGCAGAATGGCAGGAGAGCTCCCAGAGTCACTCCTTCTGCAAAGAAAAAGGGACGCCTTCCTAGGGCCAGAGGCCCCAGCAGCTCTCACTGAACTCTGGAGAAGCTTCAGGACCACAGGTAGAGTCCAGAAGTATCTCTAATGGCCTCAACTTGGTGCCTATATTTATGCCACTTTTCAGAGGTGTCTAATCTGTATGACCTGTTAATTTTCTTAGGTGGTGCCGCTCCACACAGCCAAGCTTTATCTGTCCCAGGTTTCTGTTCATGAGGTGTTTTCATAAAGTAGTGGTTGATGGGTCATTACAATGTCAATGTTGATAGCATCCAGTCTGTCCAGATAATTACTATCTAAACATATATGGTAGCAGGGAATATCCATGGAGCAAATAAGAATGAATGAATGAATGCAGTCTTCAGTTAGTGAAGTGTGCCTCCAGGTGATGGGATGCGTAGAGACTAAAGAGCACTGGTTTTAGAGTCGGACAGACCTGGGCTTAGTCCTATGTCAGTGACAGATTAAACAGCAGAATGCATGTTTTACAACTCCAAGTGCCAGCTGGCATTAATCTCACAAACAAAATGTTGAGGAAAGAAATCTGACACTGCAGATAAACTCTATACATTTCCACTTATACCAAGTTCAAAACCAGGCAAAAATTAGACTATACTGTAGGAAGTCAGGGCAGAATTTGTCCTTAGTGCAGGGAGGTGTTGGAGACTGGGAGGGGCTGGCTGGGAAGCCTTGTGTCTGGGCTTGATTGTGTGCTGGCTAAAGACTGATTCCAGTGAGTGAAAACTCATTGAATGATATTGTTTTCCATGTAAATATCATACTCTAATAAAACAGTTTTAATGGAGCAAGCTAGATAAAACAAGCAAAGTCCTGTGCTGGCCACTTTAACAATTGTCTATAAATGTGGTACTCAAAGTAGGAGACCTGACTCTGGTGCTGGGATGCCAAATATTTTATTATTTTCAGAGGAAAAAGAGCACAAATTGAGGGGGAACCCTCCCAGATGTCAACAGTGCCTTGATGGGTGGTGGGTGGGTCTCACGGCAGAGTGTAAAGCAGCTTGGTCATCGCCATGCCCACATAATAAGCCAGACAATGCCATCTTTGTATGGGGGGGGGGGAGTCTGTGATTTGGGAGCCACAACTCTGGATCACCATGCTAGTTTGAAAGCACTGATTGAATGCAATTTGCTTCCAGTTGAACCTTCGTTTCCCCACCAGTAAAATAACTGTCCTGATGTTCCAAGGTTTGGAGGGAAGACGAGCAAATTAAAGCAGCAGACATCAGACAGCAAATACTCTCCAAGTGCATAGGGGAGCGAAGGCTGTGCTCGTAACCAGCCTTCTAAGTAATTCTTTTTTTTGTTTGTTTTAAAGATTTATTTATTTATGCATACAGAACTAGGGTACAGGCCAGAGGTGCAGGGGTGGTGAGAGGATTCACCAGAGACAGAGTGGGAAGCAGAACAGGCTGACTGATAAAGTACGCTGCTGAGGGGAGCAGAGGGTGGGCCAGGAGAGGTCACCTCCAGGGCCGGGATCGAATTCATGCTGAAGTGGCTTGAACTTCTTAGTGCTATGCTTTAACCTGCCGTGCCCATCTAAATAATTCTTAATGGGGTGCCTCCTTGGGGTTCTACTCTACAGAGGCACTGTCCAGCATAGTGGCCACTAGCCACACTGGACTGTTTCACATTTGGGTTGCTACTGGCTTGAAAAGAGATGCCATAAGGGTGAAAGGCATATGAGATTTCCCTTAATATGAATAATAGAATATGAAACAGCCATCCATTTTTTGTTGAGCACACAATGAAATTTTTGCATATGTTGGAATTTAATAAGACATATTATTAAAATTTACTTACTTCTTTCACTATGACTACTAGAAATATAAAAAAGTCTGGCATTGGCTCAAATTGTGTTTCTATGGCACTGCAATGCTCCAGGGCATCAGCAGTGGAATTTTCGAGGCTGGACCATATGTAAGATCCACAGCAACAGCAGAACTTGCTGGTTGAGCTCACATGCCCTCTGTCAAGTGCCTCCAATGAGCTCCTTCCAGCCCCCTGGGGAACGTAACTATTTGTTGTCTTGTTCTACAGATTAACTACAAGGCTGTTGGCTCCCTGGACCCAAGTGCGGACCTCTCCAGCCAGAGGGGGAAAGTATTCAAACTCCGGAATGAAACCCACCACCTCTTCGTGGGTCTTTACCCAGGTACCACCTACTCCTTCACCATCAAGGCCAGCACAGCGAAGGGGTTTGGACCCCCTGTCACCACGAGGATCGCCACCAAAATTTCAGGTATCTCTCAAAACGGGACAGGAAGAGGGTGGTTTTATCACCTCTCATTCCTAATTTTCCTGGAAGTAAAAAGGCAAAGGCAGCTGTCACTGGGTGGTGCTGAGCAATTTGAGTGAGGCGGGCTGGGGGATATTATTCTCGTAGTCTCTTGAAGAAGGCCTAACCCACGGATTTCCTAAAGTGTAAATATATACCTTAATTAAACGAGACCAGAGACAGTTGCATTAAGTAGTATAATTTTTTCATGCAAATTGATTTTTAAAAATGTGATTTATTTTCAGGAGTATTCCTTTTGGCAGTGCGAGGCACAGCAGCCTCATTAAATGTCTGATAAATGAACAAATGACGGCTATAGAACCATGTCGCTCTGAAATTTTACCTATCGTCACCAGTGGAACGCCCCCACCCAGCATCCACCTCAACCTCAAGACAGAATTATTTCAAAACCCTTATACATTTTATATATATATTGAAATCTGTGTGATTCTGGTCTGCATTATACATATTTTGCAAATGTCTGCATTTTTTTCATTTTTTTCATTTGTCCTGATACCATAAACATTCGCCATGCTTTCATAATATTACTTTCATTATAATGTTCTGTCAAGGGCTTGGGCATAACTTAATTAAATAAATATCCCCTTGTGGTTGGGTATATTTGGTGCTTCTGTGTTTTTAGAAAATAATTTGTCAATAAACATGTTACAGGATAAAGTTTGCTTCTTCACTCTGGATCATAACATTAGGGTTAAATTTCAAAACTGAAATATTGAATTGAATTGGATATGGATTTTAACAACGCTTAGTACTCAGTGGCTCAAATGGCCCTTGTACCTTCTTGAGTGATAAGATTAAGACACTGCTCTCCCATTCCTCTGGGGGTGAGAAGAGGGTCTCCTAGAAAATGGGGGTAGAGCAATCGAGGACCTAGTTCATGACTTAACCGAACATTTCAGTGTGCTGGCGAGGTTGACCTGGCATCCACATCTTAAGTACTCAGAGCTTTGTTTTCTCTATCTGTTGATGAGGCGCAAAATGCCACTTTTTGCTTCGTGAGCATTTCTGGCCACTTTGCTCCTGCTCTCTGGCACAGGGCAGGAGCCATTAGATGGGTGGGACATCAGGGACTCCGGTGGTGAGTGGGTTTAGAGCCCGCGCTGAGTTCACTTTCTCTTTCTGTTCTATGCTCAGCTCCGTCGATGCCCGAATATGACACAGACACCCCGCTGAATGAAACGGACACCACCATCACAGTAATGCTGAAGCCTGCTCAGTCACGGGGAGCCCCTGTCAGGTGAGGAGGGTTTGTCACTTGGAATGTACAGTTTTCCCCTCTGCACAGTCCTACCTCCAAGTGAATCAGGCCTCTGGCAATGCCACAGGCGACACTGGCCGGGGCAGGGCTTCCTGGAAAAGGAGGTTCAGCAGCTCCAAGTCTGGTGCAGACAGACCATTGAGCCAGAAACCTCACAGGATAATAGAAATGGTGCAGAGGAAACATGGAGATGGGAAACTGAGAGCAAGGGAAAAGCTCTGGAACACACCAAGGGCACATTTATTGAGTAGGGTTGGTGGCCTGGAAATGGTCTGGCAAGGTCACCTTTATATAGTGGACCCAAGCATCCCCCTCTGTTACTGAAGCCGACAGAAGTGTCAGCCAAGGGGGCCTGGTGGAGGTGGATTTAGTTCAGTTGCCCTCAGTCTTGTGCTGCTGAGGAGCTATGGGAAGGGTAATTCGTGGAAGCCAGCAGAATCAGACGGGAGTAATGATCACCATGTGTTAATAGACAAAAGTGTGTTCCAAGAATGTGACTTCAAATAACCAGTGAGTAGCAGTACTACCTCTTTGTTTGAGGCAACTCAATGTCAAGGTCACAAAACCAATACGTGACAAGGCCCGGACTTAGATCTGGACCTGCTGATTCTGGAGACCAGCCACATGTCATCTGGATGGCCCAAACCAACATTCTTAGAAAGTTGTTTCAGTTTCCACAAAAAAAAAAAAAAAAAAAACAACCTCTTGCAGGTTTCCCTGAGCCCACATAATCTTAATGTGGACATCTGTTTAATAAGCTGAAGCATCCAAAGGCGATGGTAAATTCAAAGGTGAGAATGGAAATGCCCCGTACCAGTGAGCGATGACAGTTGACAAGGAGCAAAAAGTAGGACAACTGTAAAACAGACCCAGGAATTCCAGAAATGAGGCTGTCTGTTGCTGCGGCCCTCCCGGCTGTGGGGGGTTCAGCTCTTGTTCCTGCTCTGCCACCCCCTCCGCCAAATATGACACTCGGTTCCATGTCTTCAGGTTAAAAGCCTGCTAGCTTCCACTTAATGAGCTTGTCCCTGCTGTGTGCCTGTCACTGTACATAAACTCGCTCTGTCCTCCCAGCATTACAATAATAGTCTCCCCATTTTGCATATATAGAAACTGAGATAAAGAGAAGTTAATTGAATTGACCCAGGCCCCAAAATAAGGACACAGGATGGGCAGAATTTAAGCTCAGATCAGCTGACCTTAAACCAACCCTCATTTCATCAGACCACACCACCTCCCTCGGAGAAAGTTGTGCGTGATATATTTGGGTGACATTTCCATTGGAAAAAAAAGATTTAAACAAATGTCACTGCTCCGAGGGGCAAGGCTTGGTGTCTAGAAATGCCTAGCTGCTTTTCTTTCCAGGCTCTGGATCACTGATGGAGGGTTTGCACTCAGTTTCTGGAATTATTTACAGACGGTTACTTGGGCATTTGCCAAGAAGGGACAGAAAATAACCAATGTCACCAATAATACTTTCAGGACAACTGCAGTGACAACGACAATGTCAGTAGATTTCAGCTACTTCCACCCTTCTCCATCTTGACCACTGGATGCTGTTTTGGGAAACACAGAACATTAGGTCATTTGACAAATATTAATTGAGCACTTGTTATGCCTGAGAAACTAGCTAAGCAATGGACATGTAGGCGGACACAGGAGAGTTACGCCTTCCTTTTAAGCCCTATCATCCAGGAATCACTCATGTGGATGGGAAGAGAGGTATTGAGCCAGTAAGGATAGTGACTGTACTGATTGCAAAGTGGATTGATTGATTAGAGAGAAATGAGGATAGCCCAGGCAAATGGAACAGTGTGAAGTCCCGGGGGGTGGGGGGGAGCAGGACCACTGTGAGGTCACCCAGGCACACTACAGTGGCGTAGAGCTCAGTAGATGACTCAGGAATTGAGTCAAGCATATCTGGGATCCTGCTCTTTTAATTGATAGTTCCTCACCTACCTTCGTATCATCTGATGGTCACACCGCCAACGCAAAAGCTCAATGGAAAATACCATCTGTTGCAGCAGAGGGAGGCGAAGTCTAGGATATTAAATGGTGTCCCAAGGTCATGGAATTTGGTACATGCACCCAAAACATGGGTCTGGCTTCCTTCCTCTGACTTCCTGTGCCTGAATTACCTGTGATGACCGGATGACCTTCACGTGGGGTGATGTGGAGTAAACCTCCATCAGCTAGGGATGAGAACTAGGTGGGGCTCCTCTAGCTCTGGACTGTGTGGGTGCAGCCCATGGCTTGTGGACCCAGCAACTCTCTCTGGGGGAGACCTGTCCATTCTCAGACAGACTCAGATTCTTCTAGAGCATCTGTCTCCACACCCATCAGGTAAGCTGTGCTCTGGCTCAGGCTGAGCCCCGGTCCAGCCTCCGCCCCACCCTTCATGCACCATAGGTGTGCTTCAGTCTGTGTATCCAGAGAGGCTAGGAGGGAGGGTCACCTCGTGGGGCCCCTGGACCCTCCTTCCTCCAGCCAAACCGCACGGCAGCTTGGCCTATTTTTCTAATACTCCACAATGGAGATTTATTGCTTTTGCATTGCTTTCCCCAGGCCTTCAAGGATTTATTGGTTTTTAAGTGACAGAATCCCAGAATTGCTTAAAAGATCAATCACATAGTGACTAGAATCTAATATTCAACTCCGACTCACACACGCAGAGGCTTCTTCCCCACGCCCCACCTGTCACGCTGATGTATCTGTAGTAACCTTCATCAGAGAGTAACTTGACTGTGAATTAATCACGAGCTTCAGTCCCTGAGTGAGGCTGGGGGCAGAGCCCCAGACCCTCTGCAGACTTTTCCCTGGATTCCCGGCTGCCTTCCTTGGAGAAGTCTTTCTCTCCTGCTCCTCCCTTTCACCCAGGCCTGGAACTTGTCCGCCCAAGGGGACAAGAGGGGTTCTCCATCCCCGTGCCCCTCGCCTGCCAGGGCAGCTCACCGACTTGCCTGTCATAAGTTTCAGTTCATCCCCACTGAGCTGCTGTGGTGGCCCTTCAGAATCACAAATCGGATCCACTTAAGTTCCCTGCTTAAAATTCTTAAATGGATCACTGATTTTCTACCACATTAAGTTCAGGCTTCTTAGCACGGAATGCAAAGCCTATCAGAGTCAGCCTTCACCTTCATTTCTGGCTTTATTTCCTTTCACCCGGCCCCCTTTACCTGGTTTGACTCGGTAGTGCCCTAGTTAGTGCCCTTCATCCTTCTTTGTTGAAGGATGTCCATTGTGTAATGCTCATCTGTGTGTTTCCCTGCGCTGGCCCCTCACTAGACTGATCAATCAGGAGGCCTGATCCTCAGGGGTTCCCCTTCTCAGGGGTGGTAGGTGACATTTAGTAAATACCCAAGAAATTGACAAGGCCATAATGATTAATTAAGCTACTGACACCTGGTAGATGCCAAATCCTGGACCCGCCAAGATACACTTGTGCTGCTCAGGGTCCCAGGGAACTTCTGCAGAGAGGGAAAGTTCTCCTGTCCAGCTGCGCCGTCCTATGGCCACCACTAAGCCCGTGTGGCTGCTGAATACTTGGAATATGATTAGTGCAACTGAGAACCTCCATTTCCTCATTTTGTTTTTCTTAAAAAATAAATCTATGGGCCCTCCCTGGTGGCACAATGGGTTAGGACGCAGCACTGCAAGCTAGCCGCAGCCGCTTCAGTGTGAGTTCAATTCTCGGCCCCGGAGGTGACCCACATGGAGCAGCAGACCTCTCCTGACCCGTCCACTGTTCCTGTCAGCAGCAGTGTACTTCGTTGATCTGCCTGTTTTGCTCCCCACTCTGTCTCTGGTGGATCCTCTCACTGCCTCTGCACCTCTGGCCTGCACCCCAATTCTGTATGCATAAATAAATAAATCTAAAAAAATTAAATTTATGAAGCCACACATCTCGTGGCTACAATTTTGGACAGTGCAGATCTATAAAGATGATCAGAAAGAGCAAACGTGCTGTTGAGCCTATGTACCTGGTCAGAGGTTTCTGTGAGGCCCCAGCACAGAGGGGTCTCAGGTGCGCGGAGGACTTCCTGGAGGCAGTGTTGCCTGACCTGAGAGTTGCTGGATGAGGGGAGTTTGATAGTGAGTAAGGGAAGAGCGTGGCCCATGATGCAGTGGTCCAGACAGGAGCCTTGGCAGGGAAGGTGGAGTGTGCTTAGGAAACTCAGCAGACTGGGGTAGAAAAATGGGGCAGGGCCAAAGGATCAGGCAAAGAGTGCTTCACTCTGGGTCTGGACTCGATCTGGGGTGGGGGCACAGGACATTAGTCCTCAGGTATCCAATACTGTCCTGAGTAGCCAGCCTTTGACTGCCACTCTCTGCCACACAAGACCCTCTCTAGCTCTCCAGCATCCAGTCCTGACCTGCTGCACCTGGGACCATTGCCTGTCCAGCAATGAATGCATCAGCTCACTGCCACTCTGCTCTGGCCATTCTGTCAGGAACTTGATTTTCAGCCTCTCCCAGTTTGTGACCTTAAGGACAGGAACTGCATCCCAGCAGTGGTACCTGACTGAAAACTGAGATTTCTTATGCTCTTTCTGCCACAGTTGAATTTCTGGTTGGAAACACTGAAGTCCAGAGGATCCTGGAACCAGATCCAACCTGATGTTGACTCAATGGGAGGCCTTGGGTCAGTTACTTACTTTCTCTGAATCTCCAGCTATTGATAAAATGGCAACACCCCAGTCACCGATTGTTTTGAAGGTCGGGTACGCTGATGTGCATAAAGTGCAGATGGTCTCTGCTCAACTTGTTCTTTGGGTTAGCCATGCTGTTGAGACAAGATATGGCCCCTGCCCGGGACAGCTGTGGACAGGATTGTTTTCTGAGCCCTGCTGTGAGCTGATGTCTGTTTGCTAGGTCTCCCTCGCTAACATGGGTGATCCACTGCCTGCTGTGTGCTGTCTAGTGGTTGACCTGTTGGAGAACACACAGTTATCTCCAAGGCTTGGGCAAAATCCTCAAGG